CATCCTTCCTCAGCTCCCACCCTAACCTGCAGTTGGCTCCTCGTGTCTGGACAGCGCTCATTGTCCAGGCTGTTGGCCCGCTCATTCTGTGGTCGAGCTGGCTGCCGTTCCTTCAGGGATGTGCTCCGGCCCCGGCGGCCGGTTGGCTTGGCCTCTGACCTGTTAGAGACCAGGAAAGGTAGAGAACATCTGGAGTGGTAGACCAAATGCTCACTGAAGGCTGCAAACTGAACTGTCCCACAACAGCTGTCACACTTCCACCCAGCAGACCCTGTGATAAGATACTGCAATTGTACCAGCACCACGAACTCTCAGCAGTTTCATTTCCAAGAACAGCAGAATGGAAGTGGGTGGCACCCTCTGGGCACATTGGCTTTAGGGTTTCAAGCCAGCAGATGGCCAGAGACAGACTGGGTAGGAGACCCACATGCAGTTTCTGGAGCTGGCCCAAATATCTGGCTTCCCACAGCCCCTCCCAAAGGGGTACACAGTCCCTCAGCGCAGACCCACACCTGGTGGAAGGGATGACAAGGGACTCAGTCTTGGTGATTCTCCCACTGGGTGGCAGCTTCTCAGTGAAGACATCCAGGAGAGAGGTCTCAGTCTCTGGACTGTCATCAGGTTGCCCTGATGGCTCTCGAGGGGCTGGTGAACTCTGATGGATTGAGAAAGAGCCATATGCACTCACCCTGCCAGAAACATTTACCATGCCTCTCCTATGTATGTGCTCTTGGTTTAAGGTAAGGCTCTGGGCTTCCTCTGACTTAAGGTCTTGCTGAGACACAGGCATAAGGAGGCAAGAGGAAAGGTACTCCTCTCCCACAAGTAGCTCCTGGTCCAACTATTACTAAGAGATCAGGACCAAACCTGCTGGAAACACCAACTACCCTGCACCATATCTGAGAGACTCCATGAGGGCCTGGGTCTGATAGCAAGGCTAGGAACACATCCATCCACCTGAGCTACAGGGTCATCCCTGAGGGTGGTACACACACTTTCAGAGTATATGAACACAAAGCCCTCCATGTGGTGTTCATTGTACACTTGAGTTCGGCTGCACATGGTGGATGCTCCCCATGACTGCTTACAAGGGCTACCGTGTCAGAGATGCTGTCACTTGGCTGCTGGCCTCCCAGAGATCTCATCTTCTCAGGTACATCAGCCTGCAGGTGACAAGACAGGAAATGGGCTATGCTACAGAACAAGGATGTCTACTTATGGATAGGAGGAAGCCTAGGAAGACTGGCTGGGAATTTCACAGACTTTTAGCTCAGGATTACATTTGAAAAGCCATCTTTTACTGGGTGGAACTCTGAGCCCAGGACACATCACAGCCCAACTAGGTACATGCTGGCTAGGCATTCAGGACTCAGAGGGGCAGGAAGGAAGAGAAGGCCCAGCCTGGTCTAAGGGTCTCACCACTGCACAGCATGGCCCTACTCACCGGACTTGGAGGCTCTCTGTGGCTCCGGGCACTGTGGATGCTCCCTATCTCTGTCTGTGAGCTGGAGTGTGACAGGCCTTCAAAATATGGCCTGGATAAAGAAGGAATAGATGTTATTTCCAAAGATCCCCAATACACTGAAAATGAGGTTCAACCCACCACACACAGAAGGGAAGGCAGCACAGAACTCAACAGCAGAGCAGAGCTACATCCAAAGATGCTCCAAGTGTGGAAGAGCTGTGTGACTAGACATCCACTGCTGAGGGAACCTTACACACATGGTAGGATTCTGGAGCAATTCAACTCCAGGTGGGCACAGCTCCTGCACTGGCTATGAAGTCAGCTGCAGAAAATGTGTATTCCAGGGCTGGCGAGATGGCTCCTTGGGTAAAGGCACCTGCTGCCAAGCCTAAACACCTGAGTTTGATCCTTGGGACACACATATTGGGAACCCTAGCAATTTGTCCTCTGACCTCCACACTCACGCTGTGGCACACACATGCCCCCTCCCAAAATAAAATTTAAATTTAAAAAAGAAAACCCCATCTGCTCATGTTCACCCAAGTTGGGGCTGCCAAAAACACAAGGAGATTGGATATCAGCACAGAATATCTCATGTTCTTAATGGGGGTTGGGCCTGATGAGAACCTTGATATCTGTAGTCAGATAACAGAAATCAGAGGAACATTCTCAACAGCATAAAGGTATCATGGGCAAGTCCAGAACATCTAAAGCCATTCTAGTCAGACTACTCCAGACCAACACAGATGACTTCACACCCTAGGCCACAACAGACCAAGCATGACAAAGCCATTTCAAACTAATCCAGCATAGCCATTAGACCACTAGCCACTCTAGACCAGCCGGGCCAGCTCTTGCCAATCCAGACCAACCTGGACCAATGTATCTGACTTCAGCAGGTCAAGTGTGAGTGAAGAAATAGGAGACAAGGAAAGCAGAAAACCAAGAGATATTAAAGAAGTCAAGCAAAACTACCAGACAGGATACCTTCATGGTTATGTGGGTGATGAAGCTATACAGAAATCTAGAGATGCAGGGTGTCACTTATGCATTGCCACCTGGGATCATGGCCCCAAAGTGATCACATATCACCCCAGAACTACAGGTATTAGCTGGCTAGGGACTATGCCATCATAGTTAATGTCATGGGGCTCATGAGGATCCAGACTCTCTGGGTAGACCCAGTGTAATCCCAGCAGTCACTACAGACGTGAGGCAGAAGAACCAGTGGTGAGCACAAGGGGGACTGAAATGGAGAACAAGGAACACTAGCTTGCTTGACCTAAAGGGCATTTCCCATGCCGGCAGTTCAACATGCTGACCTGAGCCCAGCAAGACGTAGGCAGAAAAAGAAGCAAGGCCTGAGGATGCCACCTCAGAATGGGAAGCATAATAGATGTTGGAGTTTATTTATTTAATGAACAATGTCTCACTCTATAGCCCAAGCTGCCCTTAAACTCAGTAATCCTGCCTCAGTCTCCCAAATGCCAAGACTACAGGCATAAGCAATCAAGTAATGAATAATTATTCATTACTGTGAATTATGGTTAATTAATTACAAGACACAAGAAACCCAAATTTTTTGTGTTTCTCTCTACTGTCCAGATTAGAAACGTAAAAAGTGAAGGGTCTTTAACTTTTTGGAACTTCCTGAGTCTCCCTGTTCTCAGTCTCTACACCAAGACCTAAGTCTATAAACTACCTGTCCTGAGGGCTAAGCCTCTCCAGGTCCCACCAGTCCACAGCACATGTATATGTACTGGCCTACTTTCCTTCTTTTCTTTCTGCCTTAGGCCAGGCTGGTCAGTTGTCCTACCAGCGAAATCAAGAAGGGGCCCTGGTTGGGGGTCTCTTCTGTTGCCTATACAGTAGACTCCTGCAGTTTCCGGTACACCTCAAACTTGAGGACAGTGGGGGCACCTTGGGGCTATTCATTCTTCTGCAGCCTGCCTCAAGGACCAAGCTGTGGTGTCACAGAAAACCTTCCAGCTTAAATTCTTTCCTAGATGCTCCCCTCCCCACCTTCAGATGGTTCTGCCTGTCTGTAGTTCCCAATGCACATGCAAGCATTGTGGTCTATTTACATGGTTACTACTCACCCTGAGAAATACTCCGCCCAAGCTCCAATGGGTCAAGAGCAGTTACACCCTCTCACACAAAGGTTTTCTTTTCTTCTGGTCATCGGGAGAAAGCTACCTGGCTTTGTTCCCCACTATAACCTCGGACTCGCCCCATATTGCCTCCTCTCTGGATGTCCCTGCTGGTCTACCCTAAGAGAACCGTACGAGCCTATGGTGCCCCAGAGTTAAATATGGGTCACAATCACAGGGCAACTCAAACCAACGGAGATCATTCCAAAACAATAGTGTCAGGCCACTTGGAATTCCTTCTAGGCTCAAGCTTACTAGAAGTAACAATTTCAACCTGGCATGGCTTACCTAAGCTTGGGCTTGGGGGTGCTAAGGACACTGTCATCATCGTCCATGTCAGGGCCACTGTCGCTGGGGTTCTCCACGTCCAGCGTGTCATAGAGAAGATCCAAGTCCTCCTCCACCTCAGGAACATGTTCTGCAGGGTCCTGCTCCGAATCTAAGACCTACAGCAATGCTGACATGTATGAGAGCCCCCCAGGGCCTGTGCCACTGCTTGGCTAGTAGTTGAAGGCTAACAAAGGGGGATGTGCAGCAACAAGACCAGGAGGACAAACAGTGACACAAAAGAACACTTGACTGCCAAAACATGTTGTTTTGTTTGCTTTCTTCTCTGTCTCTGTCTCTGTCTCTGTCTCTGTCTCTCTCTCTGTGTGTGTGTGTGTTCACAGGACAGAAGCTGATGGCAAATATCTTCCTCTAAGTTGGGCATCGTGGCTCACGCCTTTGATCCCAGCACTCAGGAGGTGAAAGTACGAATCTCTGAGTTCGAGGCTAGCCTGATTTGCAGAGTGAATTCCAGGAGGGCTCTACAGAGAAACTCTGACTTAAAAGAAAAAACAAAACAAAACAACGCACACAAAGAAACAAAAAAATCCCTCTATCTCTTTGTGCCTTATTTTTTGAGACTGAGTTTCCCACAGAACCTGCAGCTTACTGGTGGTTACACTAGCTGGACAACTAGTGCCAGCAATTCTCCTGTCTCTACTTACCAGGCACTGTGGTTACAGGTGTACATAGTCATATCAACTTTTAAGAAATGTTGGTGAAGCCAGGTGGTGGTTGTGCACTCCTCTGATCCCAGCACTCGGGGAGGCAGAGACAGGAGAATCTTTGTGAGTTCAAGGCCAGCCTAGTTAGTCTAAAGAGCCAGGGTGGAGCCAACAGGCAGGGCTACAGAGTTGGTCCTAGCCATGCCCACTTAGTGTTTTTTTTTTTAAAAAAAAGTTGCTCTTGGTCAGAAAATGATGCAGATAAACAAACAAACAAACAAACCAGATTCAGATAAAAAAGACCTCTAAATGGCTCACATTGTTAGATAATGTACATGGGTTTATGAGAAGAAAGAGTACAGAAAATCATAGATTAAAGGAGTAAAGATAGTAAAATAAATATTAAAAAGCAATAGAGTGAGCCATGGGGTCTCCAACTGCATGCCAGAGTAACTGGAGAGACTTTGACAGCCCTGGCCAGCACAGTGCCTGCAGCTGCCACTCGACTTTCCTATATATGTTGAGAAAAAAGAAATAAAAAAAAAAGCAATAGAGTGAAAAACTAAGCCATGTAAGGACGGAATATACACAGTGAGTCTGGATTATGTATATTATTGTGTTTTCTTTAAATTTTTAATTGCTGAAAAACATTTGATTCTGGGGGCTGCTAAGCTAAACCAACATATATATTTTAAAGATATCTTCACTTCAAAATTTGAGTCTAAGGATATGCTACTTTGGAAAAGAGGTTTTCTACAGAGGATAGGAACCTGTGGATTCCAGGTTAACGTGGTTTGATGAAACATGATCCCCCAGAAAGGTCTCCATGAACCCGAAAAATATTTCATCCAACAAACAGCAGGAAGCAGTTTGGAGAAAACTATGCCTAAATTCCCAAAATGATTGCTTATAAATGTTTGTTTTCATTTAAAGGGGGATAAGATATAGAAATGAATACTTTGCATTGGTATAGATCTTGGTCTATTGATACAAACTTAAGGTAGATTTATTACACTGTGTATATGTATTTCTGTTCTTGTTTAAGGTAATATGTGCAGCTCATTTAAAAATATAATGTATAATTAAGAAATACAGATTAATAGATAGTCATCTGTAACAATCAAACTTTTAAATACGTTAGTTAGGTTTTCTAGAAATACAGAGATATATTTAAAATACAGAGATTAGACAGATAATCTTCAACACTTCAAACACCTACAGAATATGGCATTTAAAGGTTTTTTAAAACTTAGACTTTTCTCAACAATGAGACATGTCTGCTTCTGGTTACACCAATTACTTCAGAGAGGTTGGTGGACACTGAAGAAACGCATTATGGAATTTGCCTTTAATATGAGCTAGCCATTTGGGCAAGAAACTGCTCTTGCCTGGACTGCTTGATAGTACGCTGCATGAACTGGACATGATGATGTTCTGCCATTACAAGGCGGAACAGATCTTCAAATTTCCTGCTTCATGGAAAAGTCTGCAGGATACTATGGACCTACATGCTGAAGATGGATGCCCCAACGTTACAGAAGAACTTTGAGTGATTGTCCAGACAGTGAGATGTCTCTGTCAATTCTAGAGTTTTGGAAGTTGCTTATAATGCACTTCCTGTTAAGTTAGGTAATATTATATCCTTCTGGGATCTTTGATGGAGTTGAAGAGAGATAGCTATAGTTTTGCTTAGTTATAATAAAAGATAAATTAGATATAAAACTTTAGACTCACAAAGAAATATTGTTAACTGTAATTCTTACTTGATAACTGTTTTGCTATATGTAATTTTATTATGTTAAAATTAAAACTTCCTTTTTAATTAGACAGAAAAGAGGAGATGATATGGCATGTCCTTCTGTATATGTGTTGCTTTTATTGGCTAATGAGTAAAGCTATTCAGACCAATGGCTTAGTAGAGTAAAGCCAGGTGGAAAATCTGAACAGAGATATAAAAAAAGAAAAAAAAAATAGGCGGAATCAAAAAGACGCCATGTAGCTGCCAAAGAAGAAAGATGCCTGCCAGAATCTTACCAGTAGGTCACAGCTTCATGGTAATGCACAGATTAATAGAAATAGGTTAATTTAAGATGCAAAAGCTAGCTAGGAATACACCTGAGATATCAGCCAAACAGTGTTGTAATTAACATAGTTTCTGTGTGATTATTAGGGTCTGGAAGATCGGGAGACCAAGGCGCAGTCTCTGTTTACAAAATGCAAGTGGGAAAATGAAATAAAATCAAAAAAGAATTAGATCTTAAAGATTTGAAAAAGTCCCAGCTACACCAGGCTTTATAGAGTGAAAGTAGGAACTGGAGAGATGGCTCAGTAGTTTATAGTGTATTGCTCTTACAGAGAACCAGAGTTCAGCTCCCAGCACCCAAGTCAGGCAGCTCACGACTCTGTAACTCCAGCTCAAGGAATCCAATGCCCTTTTCTATCCTTCGTGGACACTGCAGTCATGTGCACAAATACCCACACAGATGTGCATACATGCACACAGCTAAAAATAAAGCATTTCTTAGATTAAGTATGTTAGGCCACAAGAAGTTTGAAAACAGCAATATGCATAGAGGGAGCGAGGACCCACTCAAGAGGATGACATGAGATGATCCAAGGATGCCTCCATGTTGAGGTCCTGAGGGCAGTATGGTTTCAAGTGGTTGCTCCTGAGGCACAGAGCTGTGTCTTTACAGGGTTCACGTGTGCAGGAATGGCCCCTTAGACAGCATAGGAAGCCAATGTGTATGGGAACTATAGGTGCCAACTCTTCAAAGTTTATAGAAATATGGCCATTTCAAATTGGTTGTTACAGGATGTGCTGTCCCAGGCAGAGGCCTGAGATGGAAGCAGGGCCATGTCTAAAAGAACCCTCTCCAGGGAAATACAGAGAAGTGATGCCGTGGGGTGCTCCGAGAGACAGAACTGCAGTCTCTGGCCATGGTGCCTGCTCAAGAGCTATAAGGCACATAGCTGCTAGCTGAGACACTGTAGGCTGCACTCAGGGACACTGTGGGGTGCAATGCCAGGTCCTAGAGCCCTGGCTCCAAGTCATTGTGTCCTGAGAGCAGAGTATTGAACCAAAGAAGGGTTTTCCAGCCTTAAGACTCAATGTTTGGGGAAAAAAAAAAAAAGACTCAATGTTTGGGAAATGGAAGACAGTTCAGCAGTTCAGAGCACTGGCTACCCTTACAGAGGAATGGAGTTTAGTTCCAGCAGCACCCACACGGCAGTTCACAACCATCTGCAACTCCAGTTCCAGGGGATCTAATGCCCTCTTCTGACCTCTGTGGGCACCAGATATGCGCATAGTACACATATGTGCCTACGGTCAAAACACTCATACCTATAAAATACATCAATTTTTTTTTTAAGATTCTGTGTTTGAGGCAAGTGAGAATAAAGAAAATTTCTACCAAGTCTAAGGACCCAAGTTTGATTCCTGAGTCTTACATGGTAGAATGAGAAAACAGACTCCAGGAAGTTATTTTCTGACCTCTACACTCACACAGGCATGCATGCACGCATGCGCACACATACACACAAATAAAGTACAAGAATTGTGCCCTGCTGGGTTGTGGACTTACTTGGGAGCAGTTACTAATCCCCCTTTTTATTTTAGAACAGAGTGCCTGCCTTGTGCTGGTCTCATAACCTCCTTTGAAAGCACATCCTTTGGTTTCATGCTCACACCTGGACAAGCACTGGTGTAGACAGCAGTCAGACACTCTAAGTTTCTAAGAGTCTGAGTTGACGCTAGAGCGAAGTCAGATTTTAAGGGCTGTTGGGACAGAATAAAAATATTTTCTGTGAGGGAAGAAAATGAATTTTGAGGTCTAGGGGCAGAATGTTTTGCTCTGAAAATTTGCAGCCCCCTAAACTTTTTTCTGTGTAGACCTGGCTGTGCTGGAACTCGTCTATAGACCAGGCTGGCCTTGACTCAGAGGTCTGCCTGTCTCTGCCTCCTGAGAGCTAGAATTAAAGGCATGCGCCACCACTGCCTAGCTTCCCTAAAATTCTGAACCCACAAGGAGGTTCAGTAAGAGGCCTTTGGACCTGTGTTACTCCCATCTACTGTGTGAGGATGTGAAGATGCAGCACTGACTATGAAGATCTAGCCCTCTCCAGATAAGAATCTGCCAGCACCTTTGGCCTTTCAGTCTCCAACTATGAGCAGCATCCTTTGGATGTACACACATGCAACTCACCTGCCATTTTCTTTTTGGTTTTTCAAGATGAAGTTTCTCTGTCTATCTCTGATTGTCCTGAAACTCACTCTGTAGACCAGGCTGGCCTTGAACTCATAGAGACACACCTGCCTTTGCCTCCCTGAGTGCTGGGATTAAAGGAGAGCACCACCACTGCCCAGCGCCATTTTCTTTTTTAATTATTATTATTTTATTTTATGTGTATAGGTATTTTGCCTGTATGTATATCTGTGAATCACATGTATGTCTGGTATTGGTAGAGGCCAAAAGGGGGCATTGGATCCTATGGAACTGAAGTTATAGATGGTTTTAAGTTGTCATGTGTGTGCTAGAAATTGAGCTTAGATCTTCAAGAAGAGTAGTTAGCCAGTGCTCTTTTCCATTGAATGCCAGTTTAAGATAATCGACAGCTCCACACAGGGGCAGGCACACTCGAGGACTGCTCTGTGGTTTGTGAGTTGGACAGTGCCTGTGCACAGTTCCTAGTAACTGGGGGTGTGAAGACAAGAGATGGAGTTCTGGCTAGATGGTCTCCTCTTGTGAAAGGGAACAGCACAGAACAGATATGGAACAGGTCACATGGCTTGATAACTTGCACAAATTCTATACAAATGTGGGAGATTATTCCTATAAAAAGAAAAACATTCTTTTCCTGACCATGATGTTGGCTAAACTTTCCAGTTTAGGTTGAGTCTCAGAAGACAGAACAGAAGTTGAGTATGACAGGTTTATTTTGAGACTCAGCCCTGTTGCTTGGTGAACATGAAACTCCACGGTCAAGATTCAACTTCCTCCACCTGCGAGCCTGCATGGTCCTAGGCCAGGTAGCTCCCTTGCGATGTGCACACTTTCAGCTAGGCTGTGTTTGTCTCACTATGACTTGCAAGCTTCAGGATTTCGGGCCTAGAGGCTATTCCACTGAAACAGGCTGGTGATGTTTCAGAGTGGATGCTGGCACTACAGAAAACCCTATGGCTAAGAAGAGCCACCTTTAATACCTGCACACGTGAAGAGCAACTGTTGGATGTTGGTGCTAGAGCTGAATTGGGACCCTGCTGCTATAAGGTGTGACCCTTGCACACATGGAAGTAGAGGGTGGGTGCACACTTTGAGGATCAAACATTCAAGTGTCCCCTCTCTATTGTGGAGCCAGAATCTTGACTGTGTTTTATGATTTTTCTTTTGATTATGAACAAACTCAATACCTAAGACTGGGGATTAGAGAAAAACCAAGAAACCAAAGATTTGTGGCATGTTGACTACAGAACAGGCTGTACATGGCAGGAACTGGGGTGGGAAAACTCTGTACCT